GGATTACAGCGGGAGCTGTATAGTGTACAGTGTTTTTAAAAATCTGCCTCTAGCCTCTGCAGTGGCTGAGAACAGGTGGAGAAGGTGCCGCCAGGAGCAGGCAAAGGATTGGCCAGCGTTGGTGTTTGGCTGAACCCCCGCAGCTCCCCAGCTCAGGAGTTTGGGGTTCGACTCGTGATTACTGATTGGTCAGACGGGTGGACAAGACTGGAGGGGGGCGTATCTGGCGGGATTAAGGGCTGCGCCCCTGGCTCAGGGAGGCGGCCGAGGAGCTCTGAACAGCTGGGCTGTCAGAAACTGGAGCCAGCAGCCTGCCTGTCAGAGGCTGGAGAGGAGCCGGAAAGCCCCATCCGGCGCCAGAAGAGGCCCCGCTGTGAGGGGTGTTACAAAGCCCTGCCCCCAGGCGAGGGGGCAGCTGGCTGGCTGGCTGGCTGTCTGCGCTGGTCCCTCTGTGACCCACGCTCAGAGCAGCCCAGGAAGGCGACCCCCCCCATGCGCACACCCCCACTCGTGCCCACGCCAGCATCACCCATACAGGCATGCACCCACCATGCAACGGCATGCCCATCCCTCGCCCCCCCAAAGAGAGAACCTCCCACCTGCACACACACACACAGCCAGCACGGCCGCCCCTGGGTGGGCACGCATGTGCGCACACAACCCTCCACCCCCTCCACACCCTGTCCGCAGCCACCTCCCCCACCCGTCACTGAGCCACAAGGTCTGTGCCACGCCCCAGCTTTTCAACAGTGGGGCAGCCCCCCAAGGGTCCCACTCTCCCTTCGGGGCAGGCTCTGCAGCCTCCCCACCTCCTAGACTGAGCCTCTGGGTGCCAGCAGCCCCCCCTGCTGCCCCCCGAGAGCTCTGCCCAGCCAGGCAGCTGAGAGAGACCTTGGGCAGAGGCGTGGCCATGCTCCAGCGACTCGCGCCCCCAGCCCCGCCTCACACCCCCCCCCGCCCACGCTGAGCCCCCCACTTACCCCCTCCCACCCCCTCTTCACCCTGCCACCCTTGCTGAGCTGGAGCTGCCGGGATCCCCCTGGCAGGGGCATGTGCCCTGGACAGCTCACACTTCCCCCCAGCTGTGGGCACTTGTGGGAGAGGAGCCCCGCAGCCCCTCAGACCCAGGACAGGCAGGTCCAGTCTCCGCACGTCCCTGAGGTGAGGCTCTGCTCACCGGTTCTGCACCATGTTCATCACCATCCAGTCGGAGGGATACACCGTCTTGCCGATCAGGTCCTTGAACAGGATGAAGGTCTCCATGAGAAAGTCCTGCCAAGTAAGGAGGCCCTGTTAGGAGCCAGGGTGCTGCAGTTGCCTGTGGGCCCCGGGGGTGCCCGGGGGTGAGGGTGCCCAGGCCAGGCAGGGCGAGCTGCCTGAGGATGGAGGTGAGGCTGACGGGCAGGGGAAGCAGCGAGAGGATGGGGCGCCCGGGGGTGAGGGTGCCCAGCCCGGGCAGGGCGAGCTGGCTGAGGATGGAGGTGAGGCTGACGGGCTGGGGAAGCAGCGAGAGGATGGGGCGCCCGGGGGTGAGGGAAGGGTTTGCCCATCTCTTCAGGGCTCTCGTAGGGCCCCAAGAGCAAAGTGTCTCCTCCCTGGCCTGGGACTGGGCTGCGCCAGCTCCTCCCCCATGCACCAGCCTGTCTCTAGCTGGCGTCGCCACCACGGCCTCTGGCGCGAAGCTGCAGCTGAGTCTGGCGGCACTGGCTCCTGGCTCACTCCCGGGGCCACATTGCGAGCCCAAGGGCAGGAGACTGGCCAGGCTCAGGGGACACTGGCCCTGCTCACCCGCTGTCCGGGGCAGGGACGCAGACATGCTTCCTGGCTCTGGGGCTGCCAAGCATGAGCTCAGCTCAGCCCTCCCCTGCTGCGACCCTCCCCAGCCAGCAGCAGGGGATCAGGCCAGCTGCCCGCTTGGCAGGGCACCACAAGGGGGGGTGAAGAGGGCACAGCGTCCCCCCACCCTCACACACTGGGTCCAAGCTTGTCCCCAGTCGGTCCCTCGGAGGCAGCATGGGGCGAGCGGGCAGGTCTCTTCCCTCTGCCCACCGAGAACAGGAACAACAGCAGAGGCGTCGGGCTGGGGGGTGCCAAGGACACAGAGCTGGCAGTGGGGGTGCCATGGGGGGGGTGCCGAGGAGCTGGAGCTGGGGTGCCGTGAGGGAGGGGGTGCCGAGGAGCTGGCTCTGGGGTACTGTGGGGGAGGGGGTGCCGAGGAGCTGGAGGTGGGGTGCCGTGGGGGAGGGGATGCTGAGGAGCTGGCTCTGGGGTACCGTGGGGGAGGGGGTGCCGAGGAGCTGGAGGGGGGGTGCCGTGGGGGA